GGGGAGGGGAGGGTCCTGACCCTGCTGGGAGAGCAGGGACCAGGGTTGAGCCCTCAGCCCAAGCTGCCCTATTCTCCTCCCAGGAGACAGACAGCTTCTCCCTCCCTGAGGAGTACTTCACCCCAGCTCCTTCCCCAGGGGAGCAGAGTTCAGGTTCAGGTGAGACATGGGCATGGGGGGGGGAGAGGGGTAGTAGGAAGGAGACAGATGCCAGGTGGCAGCCCTGGAGAGTCTGTCTTAGGTTCAGTGGACCCCCTGCCTTGTAAGAGCCCAGGCACAGACACCCGGGTTTCTAGAGCACAGGACACTGTCTGCAGCAGCCCCTCTGTTTACCCTGCTTGCTCCAGCTTGAATTTAAGGACTGTGAAGGCCACTCAAGTGATTGCCAAAACTTTTATGACAAGTTAGCTTCATTTAAAAATTCTCGTCTCATACATGTATTCTCTGTCTTCTCTTTCTTTTTTGTAATTAATAAGTAATCAGGTAATTAAAATTAAGTACTAATCATTCGATTTCAAGTACAGTGGTTTAAAATATAAATGTTCAGTCTCTATAGTTTATATCTTACCTGTTTTTTCAAAGTATGTGGATAAACAACAAAAATAAATAAAAATATTCAAAATGCTATTAACAAAACAAAAAAGACAACGTTGCTTAGAGAAATATAGGAGCCAAAATCTAGACTGTTGTCACTATAAATGGGCATCATCATATTTATCTCTGAAGTTCTTAGGCAAAGGGAACGCCGACATCATCTGATAGAAGAGAAAAGGCCAGGGCTTCAGGAGGAGGAACTTGGCAGGGACTGAGTGTTGAAACGAATACCCTATGTGGCTTCCTTATGTGGCAGTTCTGGACACTGGCTGTGCAGTGGAAAGACCTGGGCAGCTGTGGTCCCAGGCTGGAGTCCAGATTTGAATACTTCTAGAAACTTCCCTGTGAGGCAAGTGAGCCTCAGGGTGAGAACCAGTACTATGCACAGATTTAGGTTCTCACCTCTGGCTGCACAGTGGGCTCACTGGGAATCTTTAAAAACTGTTGAAGCTGGGCCTGTGCCAGAGATTCTGACTTCACTGGCCTGGGGTGTGGCCTAGGCATAGGGATTTTTAAAAGGTCTCCTGTGCAGCCAGTTAAAACCCACTGGTTAGACATTCTTAACTTTAGGTCCTTGGATGGGCTGCAAGGAGCCTGGGACCCCCGAGGTCATGTCCTGATTCACTTATGCTTGTACATTTCTCTGAGGCAGGGGTCCGTAGCTGTCCTCTAAGCTTTTCCGTGAGCCCAAAGCACATTGAGAAGCACTGTTTGGGGGTGATCGATGAAGTTCCCTTTCCTCACTGCTCCCTTTCCTCATTCATCACAGTCCTCCTCCTCGCCCCTTTCTCTCAGTGGCTTTTGATGCCTCAGAGCGGTAAATAATGCCATTCCACAGTGCACAGAACTCACAGCTCACAGGCGGCTTGACTTGCACTCATCCATTTGTAAATCAGGTGTTCGCGACAGGAACAGACTCTCCCCAGAGAAACATGGTTATAAATGATAGTTATTCACAGTAAACTATAAGAGAACACTATTATTACAAACATATAACATTTCCAATATGTAGTGAGCTCCATAGGTTTTCGTGAGCTATACTAAGAAGGGAAATCTAGCTCAATTCCAGGTGCTGAGTAAAAGCTTGCTGATTGACTAAACAAATGGGGAAATGTAGGCTGTGTGCTGCCTCCTGGTGACAAGGCACTGTTACAGCCAGGCAGGGCCCTAAAGGAGCAGAGAGGGCAGAAACAAAGGGGGGGTTAAGGGGCTGAGGAACATGCCTCCCGCATTGCCAGCACCTGGCTCTGGGAGGGCTTCTCTTCCCAGTCCAGGCTGCTTTAGCCCTGGCACTGCAGAGTTTGCTCGCACTTGCCCGCTTGGGAGAGGATGGGAAGGGTAGTGCTGCTCCAGCCCATGCTAAGTGCTTGCCCAGACAGCTGTTATGAGTAGCTGGGGTGGGGCCATTCCTGCTCCACCCTCCTCCTCTGATACACTATTGGGTCATTATTTATAGTTCCCAATTATTTATGTTATTTTATTACCTGTGGCCTGCAGGTAGCACCATCTGGCTGGATGGGGGAACCCCACCCACTGATGATTCCCTGGTCCAGGTAAGTTTCTTCTGGGGGAGGGGAATGTGCCAGGGCACCAGCTGATCTGAGATGCTGCAGTGAGGGCTAGGGACTCTGAGGTTTCTCCTCCAAGTAACTCCTGACACCTCAGGGCTGATAGTGCAGGGCACAGCTCAGCCCAGAGGCAGGGGCTGGGATGGGGGCGGGGAGATGAAGGATGACCTCAACTCCTGATAAATCCCCACTCCTCTGACTGGTCTTGGGAGTGAAAGTCCAATTTAGTTTTTTGTGTGTTTTTTAAATGAAAATGTAAATAAATTCATTGTAGAAAAATTGGGAAATACAAAAAAGTAAGTTATGAAAAAAAGACTAAAAATCTCTAGATAGATAGATAGATATACACACACTCTACATATATATTTTTTCTTTTACCAAATTTGAGTTCTAATGGATTTCATTGCACTCTTTTCCTTAAACATATTCTCATTTGCTAGGTGCTCTTCAACAGTGTGGTCAGCTACTGCTTGAGGCCATCCTGTGTGTATGTTGTTACTTATTTGGCAAACACCCAGAAGAACTAGCACATTGTATCAGCTTTTTGCTGTTATCATAAGACTGCAGTGACATCCTTACAGAGAGGTTTTGGTGGCATCTCTAATGCGTTCCTTAATTCTCTACCTCTGCCCACTAAAGGCTTTCTTAGAACCTCTGTAAGGCTCGAGTCTTGCTCATATAGTCGTTCCAGTTTCTCCCACTGGAATGGCTATCATGATGTTCTGAGGGTGGTTGAAATGACAAGATGTCATTAAATTTAAATGCCTTCATCTATGTGAAGACGTGGGGAGGGAGCCCCTTGCCCTCACTCCACCCTGCCTGTTTTTCCTGCCTTTTCTATTTCTCCTTTACCACCCACCTCCCTTGCTTGGCATCCAGTCCTGAGTCTGGGCAGAAAGGCCCAGAAGCAGCTGAGAGATGGACATTAGAACCAGAGCTGCTAGGGTGCAGGGACTTACGAGCTGGGATTTCCTGGAGCTGAAACATTTGCTCCTCATGGTTTACAGTGAGGATGGCAAATGGACAGCGGTGGGTGGATCCAGCGTGGCAGGACGCCAGCTCAGTACCCCTCCCACAACAGCCCCCCTTCCTCCACAGATAGGAGAAGACACACTCCAAACACTGATCCCCAGCTCCCCAGCACCTTCCTGCCCTAGAAGGATTTTCCTGGATGCCAGTGTGAAAGAGAGCTACTGCCCCATGGTGCCCCACACCATGTACTGCCTGCCCCTATGGCCAGGCATCAACATGGTGCTCCTGACCAAGGTACAAGGGCCCCACCTGCCCCACCTCCCTGCAGCCTGGACACCTTCCCCAGCTGCCTGTTCCCGTGCCCTCTGCCTCTTCCTCTAGGGCCCCAACGCGCCCCTGGCCCCCGTCCTCTACCAGCTGCTGGATGGGTTTTCCCTGCTGGAGAAGAAGCTGAAGGAGGGGCAGGAGGCCCGGAGCTCCCTGCGGTCCCACCCGCTCATGGGGGACCTGCGCCAGAGGATGGACAAGTTTGTCAAGAATCGTAGGGGCCAAGAGATACAGGTAAGGCCGAGTTCTCAGTATGCCCGCCCCGGGAGAGGAGGCAGGGCCTCTTCAGCCCACACCAGTGAGGGGCCCACGGCTCTGGGCCCAGCCTCTGCCCCACCACGGGTCTGTGATCCTTGTTCCCCTGTTAGGCAATTGTGACAAAAACTTACGGCACTTGACATTTTCAGAGCATGTTTATGTGAGTTTGGCAGAACACGAATTATAATTTCCACTTTTTTAGAGGAGGCGTGGACTTAGATCGTGATTTGGCCAAGAGCCTGAGTCCAGGACTCAGGAAGGGCTATGGGTCTGCCCCTGGTGCTCCTCAAAGCCTGGGAGGTCTCACAGAGATGCCACTCCCACCCCCAGGGGACTTAAAGCCCAGATGGGGAGAGGAGGTTAGGAGACAAGGGAGAGTGCGGGAGGCAATGCCTGAGCAGCAGGAAACAGGCTCAGTGGAGTCGGGAGCCTAGCAGGAAGTGGGGGTAGATTGGGTAGCATAGCTGCTGGTGGTGCTTGGGTCTTGGGTCAGCCTGAGGAACTGAGTCACTGTGGCTGCCTGCGCATCGGCCTGAAAAAGAGCAGAAGGGTTGGAGGAGGCAGAGCAAGCCAGTGATGCCCAGCTCCAGCCCCAGCCCCAGCCCCAGCCCCACATAGCCCAGATTCTCTGCCTAGAGCAGCTGGAAGACTGCTCAGCATCTCCCAGTGCTCCCAGCTCTCAGTGGCATTGCGTTGGAATGCAAAGTTCCTCTTTAAGGAGATGGCTCAGGGCTCCTTCTCAGTGCCCAGCGCCTGCCCCATGTCCAGCCTCCCTCAAGTCACTTACCTGCCACTCTGGCAGTATTAGTTTTTGTGTCTGTGCCAGCCAGGCAGCGAGCCCAGTACTTGGCACACAGAAAGTGCTTTTGAAATGAATACCTGCCAAGTGAGTAGAACATGGTGTACAGCGGGTGCAGAGAGCTGGGGGACCTGCCAGAGACCCCCACATTGGCTGTGCGAGGACACATGTGCACGGGCCCTAAATAAGCCTTCAGGGGGTAACCTCTCAGAGCCTGGCATCTGGAAGGTCTCCCTGGACCTCGCTGTGGTCTCACCATCAGGAAGCTGACCTGTCCCCTGTCCTACAGAGTACCTGGCAGGAGTTTAAGACCAAGGCCTTCTCCAGAAGTGAGCCCGGATCATCCTGGGAGTGAGTGGTGGGCTCTGAGGGCAGGGGGGCAAGTTTGGACAGAAAGGGCAAGTTGCCTCCAGGCCAAGAGGGAGAGAATGTTTAGGAAAGCGCTTCTGAGGGTACAAGGGTCTGGGAGAGTGGGGTCCAGTCCTTGGACACTGGAGGGAAGTTTGGAAGCAGAGCGGCTAGAAGCTGAGGAGCCGGGCCATGAGGACCCCACACCAGGGACACACTGCCCAGGTTCCAGCCCAGCTTCATCCCTGATTCAGTGTAACCTCACACATGTCACTCCCCCCATTTATTCGTGAAATAAACCATGAAGTTGGACTAGATCCCATGAACTGCACCGAAGTGCAGGAAATGCCGTGTTGGGGGAAACTGGGATGAGGGTGAGGCATGCTTTGTTAGCTGTATCTGTCCTCGGTGCAGGGGCAGGATGAGGTGCTGTCCCAGGGGTGACCATGCAGGATAAGGTGCTGTCCTAGGTGGGTCTGCCAGTGCAGGGGCAGGGGTGACCCCCACAGGGGACAGTGTATTCTCCTAGGGCCCTTCCCGCTGTGATGCTCTCATCTCATTCCCAGGCTGCTCCAGCTGTGCGGGAAGATGAAGCGGCAGCTTTGCGCCACCTACCGCCTGAGCTTCCTGACCACAGCTCCCAGCCAGGGAGGCCCTCAGCTGCCCCAGCACCTGCAGGACCAGGTCCAGATGCTCATGCAGTGAGTGTGGGTGTAGCCCCTGGTGACCAGGAGAAGGGGGACCCCCTCCCCATTCCCTGCTTCCTTGCTTTCCCTGCAGAGAAAAGCTGATGGACTGGAAGGACTTTGTCCTGGTGAAGAGCAGGAGGAATGTCACCATGGTGTCATATCCTGATGTCAGAGCCCCAAGCCGGTCCCTCCACCTGCCCATTCTAAGGACTGCAGCTTTGGGGTGGGAGAGTACATATTCCACCACCTCAGCTGCTTTCCTCTGGACAACAGTAAGAGGAAATAGTGTCCAGGCGCTTGTCTGTAGAAACACTCCAAGGCTGAAATTTCAGAAGTCCCTGATGTCCCAGAGTTACTTCATAAAAACCTTAAAATTTATTCATGTTGATGTCCAGCCAGCAAAGTGGTGATGGGCATTCCATGAGGGGCGGCAGTCCTGGAGACCCTGTCGGTTTGAGAGCCATGTCCTCCTCAGAGGCCACAGCTCGCAGCAGAGCAGGAAGCCTCTGAGAAGGCCTGCACTAAATGTGTTTATCCCTGTTTTAAAAACCATATCCCTTTTATTACAGACCACTAGTTTTACTGAACTCTGGTTTTCCCTGGAACTTTATATAAAGCAGCTTTGCCTATATTAAAATCTCTAAAGGGCCTGGTCTCCAGTTCCCTGAAACTTCTATCTCCAGTGTGCAGGTGAAAGGGATGACAGAGGCACCAGCCATGCCCTGCACTGGGTGTCTGTCCCAACCTTCCAACCTCTAAAGTGAAGTATAGAGTTGAACAAAGTCATGGTGAGGTGTGTGGGTTGAGCGGTCAGTTAGGCTCACTCAGTACCTATGTGGCTCTCCTCTCTGCTAGCCACACTGTGTGTATAATTTAAAATCATCCCTCATGAAGATCATAAAATATGAACATACCATTTTCCTGTTGCGTCTGGAACTCTAGTATTGGGGGTCCATTGTACTTGCATCTTAGAACTTCTCAGGATTGGGGTTCGGAGGTAAGGAGAGATCTGAGAGAGGGGCTCCTAGGGGTTGGCTGAAACGTTAACCTTCAGAGAGGGGCAGAAGCAGCAGGCCTGGCCTCCGACTCCACTGCTTAGTCTCGCAGAATTAGGTCAGGGTCAGAGAAGCATCCACCCTGGTTCCTGGCTTACAGCACCTTGACTCAGACCTGAACCTATCTAGAAGACTTCCCAGGCTTGGTGCATTTCATCTACGTGGACCGCACAACTGGCCAGATGGTGGCCCCTTCTCTCAGCAGCAGTGAAAGGACCTCGTCAGAGTTGGGCAAGGGGCCCCTGGCTGCCTTCATCAAAACCAAGGTAACCACTGCCTGGCCCAGGCACTCTTCCCTGCCCATCAGACAGGACATGCTGGCCTGGCCCCTGCCTGGGAGGGACTAGTCCCCCTGCTCTCAGGAGGACTCCCCACCTTAACTCCTACTGCTCCTCTGTCAGCATCTATGTCCAGCTCTGCAGACACCTAAGATTAGCAACTTGTCTCTGTCACCCCAGCACCCTGATCAGCACCTGGGGCCACGTGAGCCTTGATCAATGCCGGGGAACACCTTCCTGGGCGTTTGCTAATGTCCTGGATTAGCAGAGACTGGACAGTGAAGTCAGAGGAAGAAACGGCCAGGGCCTGCCACAGTGCCTCGCATAAATAAATGCCCAATAAGTATTTGTTGAATTAAATGAAACAAAAAACACAGCTTAATCAATTTGATTATTAGAACTTAAACTAGGTGGTTTCTACTAAGGAAGCATTCTCTGGGGATTATTTTATTCTCTTTAACTGACTCTCCTTCATGGCAAACTGGTATTTTGGGTAAGGAGAAGGGAGGACCCAGACTATATGTACATACAGAGACACACACACTTTATGCATCCAGGTATGTCATATGGTTAAAATCAGATGGGCGACAGAAGGCCTGTGTTGGAAATCCATCTCTGGCTCTCACTGGCTTTGTGGCTGGGGTATTACTTAGTCTAAGCTCAGTTTCCTCACCTGTATAAGAGGGTGGAAACACTATTGACATGGAATTAGTGCAAAGATTACAAATGCATGTAAAACCTTTAGCACCGTATGTGGCACAACAGAGAGCGATTACTTACTGAGTATTTACTGGGACTGTCATCACCATCATCACTTCCATCTCTGTCCCTCCTTCCAGAGATCGTTGGCTCTCTTGGTTCATCTCTTTCATTGTTTTTCTGTGCAGTTCGTTGTAGTTGGGCTCTTTCTGTCTATGCAATTATGTTTACCACATTTTCACTTTCTATCGGGTGCATTTCCTCGTGTCATTAATTCTTTATAAACATGATTTTTAACAGCTCCACAATAGTCCATCATGGGAATGTAGCATAATTTACTCAGCCATTTCCCTGATGTCGAACAAGGAGATGGTTTCCAGGCTTTCGCGGTTATAAATAATTCCGCAGCGCACACCTGCGAGCATCCGTCTTTGTCTTCACCTCTGATTGCTTTCTCACAGTGGAGTCCCAGAAATGGAATTACTGAGTCAAATGGGAGGAATGTTTTTAAGGTTATTGATACATGTTGTCAGGTTGCTTTCCTGAAAACACAGCAAATCCATGTATTTGTTTGCAGATTTAATTAGACATTGCATTGTAGTCAGGTTTGGAGTGAATCATGTGCCTTCCACTCGGCTTTGTGGTGAGAGGGCTCATCAGGCTTGTTTCTAGCCCCGAGCTGTCCCTGCCGCCTTCCCTCAGATGGCTCAAAGACAGCATCAGCAAGTCCTTGAATGAGGCGAGAGGACATGGCGGCAGGTCTAAGTCACGTAGTTCTCGGGCACTGTGTTTCCATCGGACCCCCTGATGAGCCTAGCTTGGACTTCACCACGGAAGCAGAGGACATGCCTAGATCAGGGTGCCCTGCGTGTTCAAACATCTTACTAGCATCTTCCAGGCCTGGAACCCATGTCAGAGGTTCCCAGCCCAGAAGGGAGGAGCTGACCCTAGACAGCAGGAGGGGTTTCCAGGCAGCCACCCCTCCAGCTCCTACAGTGTTACCATTGTCTGTGGCTAGTTTCTGGCCTGAATGATGAGTTGACTAATTTATAGCTGGTGTGTATAGTGAAGATATATAAAGTGTTTCTACATATTTTTATCGTCATGGGAACTGGAGGAATAGTCCACCCGTCCATCCCACAGGGATTATTATTGAGCTCCTGCTCCGAGCCAAGGCTGTGCCTGGGCACTAAAGGAGAGAAGAGCAGGAGACGCCCCTGGCCTTGAAGGAACTCCTCCTTCAGGTACTTTTCTGCCCCTGGAGGGGAGAGCCTGAGCTCTGCCCCTGCCATGGGGAGAGGGCCAAGCCACAGGCCTTGCTGTCAGGGAATGCTGAGCACTCTCTCCTTCCCCCAGGTCTGGTCTCTGATCCGGCTGGCACGAAGATACCTGCAGAAGGGCTACACCACGCTGCTGTTCCGCGAGGGGGACTTCTACTGCTCCTACTTCCTGTGGTTCCAGACCGAGATGGTGGGTGTGGCTTTCCTTTCCTAGTTACTCTTGGATGCTTTTCTCGTGGATGGTGTTCAGTCTGTCTCTTCATCTCTTCTTGTCCCTGGTGGAGCTGACAGATAAGCTAAGCCGGTTGGGACCCAGAACTCAGAGGTCCCATTTTCACACCCGCTCTATGACCCCTCCACCCAGCTGTCTAAAACACCTAGGCTGTTGTTCAAGGCAGCGTTAGGTAACGTGAACAGGGCGGCGCATGCCGCGTGTGAGAAAGGCTGCTCAGATCACCTGCTTTCTCAGCAGTGCCTCAACATCCTCCACTGCACTTGTAAAGCATGGCACACTGTTGTTCCCATTGTACAGGTGGATAAACCGAGGCTCAAAGCAATTAACCAGCCTGCCCAGATAAAGCTGACAGTGTGGCTTATGTCTCTTGGTTCCTAGCTGGTTCTCTAGTCCTCACTGTTCCTGCAGTGTACAGACATGGCCTGGGAGTTTATTGGGCTGTCCCGGTGCCTGCTAGTCTGTCTGTGTCTCTTTCCCCAGCCCTTCCTTTGCTTTCATTTTGTTTCTCTCCTTGTTTTCTCCTCACTTGTCACCATTAGTCATGATTCCAGCTCTCTAAAGGTCATTTCTCCTAGCCCCCCACGCCCTTGGTCCCGTTCTCCTGTGCCCACTGTTCATGCCCTACTCTCTCTCTGTTCTTGGCGAGAGGTGACCCTGAGCTGATGGCCCATTCCTCTTTCCACAGTGCAATCACAGGAGTCTCTCACCACTGTTCTTATAACCCCGCATCTACACAGCCCCAAGCAATGATTTGGGCCAGTATCATTGACCCCATTTTACACATTGGCGAAACATGATCTGGAGATAAACACCATGGCCAGGGTCACTGAGGTCATAGGTGATGAAGCCAGAACCCAGTTTTCAGCTCTTCTGACCTGTAGGCTCCCATGTTTGCTCTGTGTCTCAGAACTTCCCAATGTGTGTATGACCTTAGCCTTAGTTTCTAGGGTGAGACACGGCTTCATGTGCTTGGTTGGCCCCAGAGGGTAATGGGCTAAAGGAAGGCTGTGGGGTGGGGAGACCTGGTGTGACGTCTGGCTGCACCTGTGCCATCCTGAGTGGCCAGTTCGCACTGTCAAGTTCCCCTCCTCAGCTGCAGGGCAAGCCCACAGTCCCACATGGGCTTTCTGAGGAGCCCCATGACCGGACTTGGCACATAGTGGGCTCCCAGTGGATCTTGATTCACTCCCCTCTGATGTACACTGGGAAATCCCAGTGTTTTCAGGAAGAGACAGGCCTTTTGACAGTGCTCTGCTCATCATGGCACCTCCCCACTCACCCTCCCACTGGCCCTCATGAGCATAGCGACCCAGGCCCATTCACTGATAGGACTGAGAGCTACCATGTGCCAGGCACGATACTCTGAACTTTATCTACATTGTCTCTAATGTTCATTGGGATTTTTGTTATTCCCACTTCACAGATGAGAAAATAAAGTAAAAAGAGGTCCATGGTTTCCCCAGCACCAAGCACACTTCAGGCAGGGCTGAGTCAGGCTCTGAACCCGGTGTGTCGGACCCACACCATGTTCCTCCCACCATACCCACCACCTCCCCAATCAGGACCCTCCTCCTTCTCCCGCAGGGGTACAAACTCCAGATAATCGAGATGCCTGTCCTTTCCGACGACTCAACTCCCGTGGGCATGCTGGGAGGAGACTACTACAGGTGACATGAATTTGGAAGGCTTTTGGGGCTGCGGGTGCACAGATGTTGGGTGATAAGTGACAGTTCCCCCATGGGGAGCAGCTCCTCCTTCAGGGTGGCTCCCAAGAACCTAGAAACTCTCATTAGAGGCTCCTTGCAGCCTGGGCCAGCATCCCGTGAGAGAGAAAGTGAGTGGGAGACATTTGGGTTTTTGCCCATCTTGCTGTTGGCACCCTCTTGGCAGCATTTGCGAACATCTGCGCTGAGGCCCGAGGACTTCCCTGCTGGCTCTGTGGCATCTGAGCTAGAATGCTGCCCTCAGCAGGCCCCCACAGGGTTGAGAACCCAGAGGGACGGATGGACTGCGGCAGGCCGGTGCCGAGCCTTATACAATTTGGTCAGCGTGGGGCAGGGAAGGCCTTGCTGCCTGGGTGCTGGGAACTGGTGAGGGGACAGTGCCTGTGAGGTGCCGAGAGAGGCCGCTGGCTCTGGGGGGTACCGTGGCCTCGCTCCTGAATCCTGTCTTCCCTCTTCTTCCCTTAGGAAGCTCCTGCGCTACTACAGCAAGGGCCACCCAGCCGAGGCCGTCAAGTGTCATGAGCTGCTGGCCCTCCACCTGTCAGTCATCCCCATAGACGTGCTGGTGCAGCAGGCAGGGGAGCTGGCCCGGCGCCTGTGGGAGGCCTCCCGTGTCCCCCTGCTCTAGGCCAGGGTGGACTGCTGGGTACAGTGGCCCATGCACCCTGGTTCTCCAGCCCCCACCCCCATTTGCATACATTCCCCCTGCAAGAGCCTTCTTCTGTCCATGACAGCCACCTGAGGATGGGACAGTCCCCCGGGCAGCCCCAGAATCTCTTTTCTTTATTCCTTTTTTGTTTGTTTGTCTTCTTCTGTCCCCCCCCCCTCAGGATTTCTTAAAGAAACCTCAGCTGGAGCAGCCTCCACTCCAGGCAGTGACCAAACCCCCAGATGCTTCCGTCTGGAGGAGGAAGGGGTCCAAGAGGCTCCCTTGGTCTCCTTAACAGCAGTGGCTGTGAGGTTGGAGCTGGGGCAGCCCCTCTTCCAGAGCTGGTCCGGTTACCCCCAGGAGACAGGGAGGAAGTCCCATTGCCCATATCTGAAGACACCTACCCTCTGCCTTTGTAGAAAGTAGGAAGAGCTCCCTCAGGAAGCCATTTCCCTCCCCAGGTGACAGGTGCTCCACTGGCCAGGTTTGAATTCCAACTCTGCCACTTCCTCTCTGCTATCCTGGGCAGGTTTCCCAAACTAAGCGTGCCTCCCCACGTGTGGAGCAACAGTACCTCCCCTTCAGGGTGTTTATAGGTGCTGCTGGACAGGAGTTGTGTGCTCAATAAATGCTGGTTATGATTATTGATATTGTCCAAGTCAAACATGCCTGGGCCCTGGACCCTCCTTGGTGCCTAGAAACCCGGGCAGGTCCTGGCCTCTGCGTACCCCATTCTGTTCCCGACTCCCACCCTAGCCCCACCCAGAGATTCCTGTACTCCAGCCTCGTATCCCAGGCTTTGAGGTTTGTAAAAGCTCCCAGGCAGTCCTGGTGTGCCTGAGATTGAGAACCACTACCTTGCTGGAGGGGTGCAGCCTCCAGCCTAGAAGCTCCCACCCAGGGGGACACAAGGACAGGAGACCGTTGGAGCCCGGGGCCTTGGGGGCAGCAGTACCGAGCACAGCAGAGCAGTGGGCTCATTCATGATGTACAGGCGGTGCCAGGCCTCCTCTGTCCGCAGCCTGAAGCCAAAATCCATGTGAGTAAGACCGTTCTTTCCCGTTAAGGGAACAGCCTGAGGAGACAGAGGCACTAAAGGAACTAGAGCCGCACCTCGGGCTTAAGTGCTTCAAAGGTGGCAGTGAGGGACAGTCACCTGAGGTCATGGGGACTGCATTCCTCCTTGGTGTGACTTAATGGACAGAAATTTAAAACATTGGTTGTGGAAAATACAGAAGAGCACAAAGGGGAAACTAAGTCTGGAAGCCCCCCACTGTTTAAGGTCCCCACTTTTGTCACCTAATATTTCCTCTTAAATTTTAGCAGCTGTATGCTATGGCATTTCAGTTTAACCAATCCCCTGAGTCTCCTAATATTCTAACAACACCAGGTGAGTGTCCTGAGTGGGATTTTAGCAGAACCTCGCAGGCGGGGGGAGGGGTCCATGGTGTGAGGAGGGGCTCTGGGGAGAATGGTCCTTGGAAGCACTTTTTCCACATATTCTCCCTATTTGGAGGTGAGTTTCTAACAGTGGGTTTCTGAGACAGATGTCAGAGCAGTGAAGATACTCCCCACTCCCAGGGTGTTTTTTCCTACAAGGGGAGCAGCCTGCTAGCTAATGGGCAAAGAACAAAGGGGCTTCTAATTCAAGACAGGAGATACTTACAGATGTGGCCTTTAACCCCTGAGGACTCGGGAAGGATGCCAAAAGGCAGAAGAGAGATGTCCAGGCCTTCAAAAGGAAAGGTGAACCCCAAGAATTACGAGTGAACTGGCTGCAAGCCCCTCGGGCCACTGCAGAGGCCTGTTAAGCACTTGGGAGAGAACGTGCCTCTCTCCAGGGCCCAGTGACCGATGCTGCCCTCCCTCAGTTTTCCTGAGACCTGATCAAGGAGATTCTAGTGGGGTGTTTGGCCAGCAGGCTCCCTGAGGGGTTCACCACCCTACAGGCCACAGGACCGGCAGTGGGAAGCAGAGTCAAGCCCGAGCCTCTCTCTCCTTAGATGTCCCACCCCAGCACCTCCCGGACATTTAATTCCTTAATGAGGAGCAGGACAGCACAGAGACACTCACTGCTCTCACAGGCCCTTCTCCGGGCCTCAGTGCCCCTCACCTGTAAAATGGGAGTCCTGGGGCTTACGTGAGAGGCTGCACGACTGTGTTCAGCACAGCGCCTGGCACATGGGAGCCCTAGAGAATGGTCTGCAGAGATTACTCTCCTGAGGCCTGCAGGCGGCAGGGCTGCTGGGTTATTCAGGCGACCTCCCGCAACTGCCCCGTGTGGACTCGGAGGGGGCGTGTGCAGCTCAGCGCCCTCTGTTTAGTCCCGGCCCGAGGCCAAGTATGGCAGCGGGACTGCAGCTCCTCCTCTCTTCCTGCTTTCTCCCTGCTCCTCCCCCAGCTGAGGCACAAAAAGCTGAGGGCAAGCAAATTACTGCTCTAGTACTGAGCAGAAATGGCTGCAAGTGGCCGAGGTCTCAGCAGGGCCATAGGTGCCTCTCCCTGCCCTGCTTGGAGACAAGCTCACTGGGAAGCCAAGGGACGCCTGAAGCCTGAGTACGACGCGGTGGTGATAGGAGCAGGTAAAGCGGGCTGAGCCAGAGCTGAGGGCTGGGGAGGGCCGCTGTGCTCAGGCTGGAGGGGCCCCTTCCCAACCTTCCCTGTTTTCTGGGCATGAGATAGCCAGGAGTTGGGGCAAGAGAGAGCAGGGGCTGTGGTGGAAAGCCCACCAGTCTACCCACACGTGCTGGGGTTCTGGGGCTGGCTCTGCCCTCGACTTGCTGTGTAGTTTGGAGCAGATTCTTGCCCTCTCTGGGCTTAGGTTTTCCCATGTAGAATGACGAAGGAGGACTAGGTCATTCTATCGCCTGTGAAATTTGCTGGTTCCCATCACATTCTTGAAAAGCACATGGTACATAAGGGTTGGAAAGAGCCCTGGGACAACAGACCGGTGAAATCCAGCCATCCCAAGTGCCCCGAGTTCTGGTCACCACAGCCTGCCCTGAGTTCTGGGGATGGGTCACCACAACCCATCCCCAAAGGAAATGAATTGTTTTATAAAATGGAGCTAGGAAAAAGTAGAAATGAGTCCCAGAGATCTTAGTGCATGTCCACAGAGGATGGCAGCCCCCCCTGCCTTGCACATCTGGGTGTGGGATCTGCACCAGTGGTCCTGCCACACTCTGCTGACCCCGGGCTGCAGAGCCCCGATCCCACCCAGTGACTGCAAGGCTGTAGGCCAGGGCCAGATGGCCTTTCCTCAGGGCCTGCCATTCACACTCAGAAGGCCTGAATTTCAACTTTTGACATTTCCAACTGGGTTTATACAGAGAGACAATGATAGGACTGGAAGAAGAACATGCCCAGTAGACAGCTCTAAAGCTGCCCCGAGCTTTGGCGTTCCTTCATTTTTGTGTGCACAGAGCAGCCTTGTGCCAGTAAATGTTTAACAGTCACCCCTCCGGGGGGAAGTATGTGCAAGTACACACATACATCAGTTAATTAGAGATGCTGAAATAAAAGCAGTGGAGCACAGTTTTACAGATAAAATAACAGTACACTAAATTCCAGGTAGCCAGTTGACTCACCAAATATCTGTGATTTTTACCAAACTCAGTAGCCAATCTGTGGTTGCAGTTGACAAATGAGGATAGTTCAAAAAAAATGTGTGATATTTTCATTTACTTAAAGAGTAGAACAAACATGAAATAAGTGAAACAATGAATATTTATGTGCAATCTTCACTCTTTCAGTGATAGGACTACTTTCCTCCATCAGCTAATATTTTTTGAATACTGGAAAAACATTTCCTCCATTTTTTGTCCCATTCACGAAGTTACAGCTGCAGACACAACACATTGTGGAGTTTAATCTGCATAATCAGCATTTTCTCCAACAGTTCTTAAGTCTATCAACAAAATAATGCATCAAGCCCCAACGTGTAATGCCTGCCGATTCCCATGGTGTAAGTACTCTCGCCATGGCCTTATTCAAGTTACCAACATGACGTCGCTGGGTGTGAATTTGGGTGGGATACACAGCAGCCCATCATATAGTATAGGCACCTTACAGATACGCAGAGGTAAATTACAGCAAGAGCACAGTAAAACATGCAATAATTAGGAAGTGACAGTGTTGAGTATTGATTACCTTTGTTTTTAATACAATTTATTTCATTGTAAGTTTGTGTGATTTAATTTTTAACAACAGCTGTTTTGACCCCTCACACACATCCTGAGCTGGGGAAGCCAGCTCCAGCCCCCACCGACAGCTCAGTAAATGGAAACAGCCCTCTCAGCCTCAGAGAGGACCCCTGCCTTTCTCTGTCCTTGATGACAGCTTACCCCTGCTGCTTCCTGGCAGGGAGATTGACTCTAGGTCTCATCTCTGTATCCCTGAAGTCACACCAGTACCTGGGAGCCACCTTGAAGATGACTCTGATTTAGTCATCTGACTCCATATCCGTAAGAATGACCCAGGAACATGTTAAAATGCAGGTCCCGGGCCCTGGATCTGGTGATTGTGATTCTCAGGGTTGAAGGTGACTCCAGAGGTCAGCATGCCTAACCAACACTTTGAGTGGATCCGATGCAGGCAGCTGCAGCCCAAACGTTCAAGAGACCTTGTTCAGAGCAGCTTCTCCACAGAGCCCTGCTGCCTGCAGATCCCGGGAGCCAGGCCTGGGGTTAGCTAAGCCTGCCTGCAGCTTAAGGCCACTTCAAGGGGCAAGGGGAGGCCAGAAGTCACAGGAGCGCTCAGCCAGAACTGGGGGGTGGAGGGTGGAGTGAGGAGGGTCCTGGGATATCAGATCCCTGACCTTTGTCATTTGAGACGTGTCTGTGCATTCGTAGGCTTATCTGTGATGATTGACCTGGAACCTACTGCCTGGAAGCCTTTATTAGGTTTCCAAGATTTATAATCAACACTAATTAAAGGACAAATAGCTACTATCTATTGTGGGTCTGCTAAGGGCCAGGGCTTTACCTATATTGCCAGTTATTTTCTCCGCCAGGCCCCCAGCATCCTCTCTGCTTCACACATGAGGAAGCAGAAGGCTCCTGGCCGGGCAACTCACTCCCTCGGCCGTGCCTGCGAAACAGCAGAAGCCAGGCCGAGCCCAGGACAGTGGCCTTCAGGTTGCATGTATTTGAGAGCAGGGCTTTTCAAGCCACAGGTGCCAACGCATTCATGAGTCCCACCCAGCAATATTTTTTAAATTTTCTTCAGAGAATTTTCAAGTGTGTAAAAATAGTATACCCACCAGCATTTTTAAAAATAAAATATTATCAAATAGATCATCACCTGCTTCTCACATGGTAAGAGTTAACATCGGATCATGAAACATTTGTTTCTGCCAAATACACTTGCGTGTGGAGAGTGAGCCCGGCCACAGCGTAAGATGTGTTTCTTCCCACGGATCATGGAGGAGTTTGAAACTCCGTGCTAGAGATTCCTTGAGTGGATGAGAGGTTGGCTCAGTGACCTCTAAAACCCTGGGAGTTTCTGTGGAAAATTTAAAATCAACTCAGCTGTGAAGAAATCCATCATGTGGGTCATTGCTGCTCCCCTGTTTATGGATGTTTGTGAAATTACTGGTTGAGCATTTTATTTAAGTCAACACATGTTTCAGGTTGGTGCTCAGCCTTCTGACGTCTCTGAAGATGCAGAGCGACCTTTTATTCCCCAGGACAGACACAGGCCGAGTGGGCCAGACTAAGCCCCCCTCCTTCCTGAAAATGGCTGGGGCCTGTCCTCTGCCGAGGACTCTCCATCAGCAGCTGCACCTTCTCCTGAAAGTAAGGAAAGAGGAAGCCACTCAGCCCTGGGACCACCTGCATCAGGACGACCTGGGAGCACGTGGAAACCCAGTTCCAGGCCCCGCCAACGGCCTGCTGAGGACGCCGGGAGGGGGCTGGGGGTCTTGGCATTTATGCGAGTCCTCGGGTGATCCTGAAGCTTCTCAGACCTGGAGAGGCACTTGCTACCAGTGGGTTTGATGTGGAACATGGGCTCCCACCCAAAGGCAGCTTTCCTAAGGTCTTGGGAAATAAGCTTTATGTGTAAAATACGCCAGTTTGCCCAATCTTCTGGCTCCCCTGAAGCAGACCAGCTGCTCCAGCACACACGGAAACTATGTTTAATCACTTCCTTTTGAATGGTGCTTATTTTATTTTGGGAGCACTGGGGATAGACAAAGACAAACCCATGTGCCTACAGCCTTCTGGGTACCACTGTGAACACTTGGCAAAACAAAGCAGGCTGGACAGCAACCGTCCACGTGACCAACTAGGTGGCTGCCGATTCCACGCCAGGCAGGGACCTCCAACATCAGGGTCCCGGCCACGTTTCCCTTCTCTTCCCTGTGACGCTCGTCCCACAGTCACCCTTCATCCTCACGTGACAGAGGCTCAGCAATATGCGGCATCGTGGGGTAGCTTTCATCTGCTGAGCGTGGATCCCTCCCCGCCCCTCGCTCCAGCGTGGAGCCCCAGCCAAGCCAGGGGAAAGGACACCTTCCAAGCCAAGGCAAGACCCAGGGTTTTCTGACTCCCCACAGACCAAGTGTCTTATGGCATCAAACTAGATGCTGTTCCAGCATCCAAGTACAGGCTTAGGGGATGCCCAGGTTTCTGCTACCTCTCCATCTTCACAGGCATGGAGACAGGGATGGGTGACCACACTACGCAGGGGCTGTGTCTGCCTGCCTGCTGACCTTTGGTGCTTTCCTCCTCTCTCCCTTGTGTCATTGCAGGTCACAATGGGCTGGTGGCCGTGAGTACCTCCCCTTCTGCCCCCTTCACTGGCCCCTGGGCAGGTGGCTCTCAGTAGCCACAGGAGAGAAGGAAAGGCAGGCTCGTCCCCTCTCCCTGGCGCTGACCAGTGGCCCGTGGAATGGACATCTGCGGGAGTTAAGGAGGATGTCAGGGGCTCGCTTTCCTTTCCTTCCTCCATGCACGTAGATGTCCCCCTTGACCTTGGGAGAGTCAGGGAACTGTCAGAGGCAAGCTGATGAAAAGCTGGGCATGTGTGTACTGGCAGAGCCTAGGATCAGGTAAAGAGAGCCAGAGTATGGGTGATCCTGTGTGTAGAGCCCTGTGCCCCCGGCTGGGTTCAGGCCACGTACCAGCCTGGAGTACACAGCAGCCACCCAGTCCCAAGTGCACCCTGGAGACAGGAAGGGAGCCAGTGCGGTGGAGGAGGTGCCAGTCTGAGCTGGGCCAGGGTTACCCCATGGTTGGGCTTCTCAGGCCTGAGTCCACGACTCCTAGGAGGCCACAGTGTCCCAGGGGTTGTTCAGGACCCAAGGCAAACACAGAGCATTTTCCCGAAGCAGGGGCAGCTCTAGAATATCAATATAGGGGACTTAGCAATGCCAGGGAGCGACAAGGTACGTGTCAAATCGCAATACTTTCCCTGACATCAATTTTACTGGGACATTTTACAGGGGGACATCTGTAACTCAGCCAGTTGGTAATTTAAAACATCAATTTTATGCTAATATGAACCTGGTTTGTCTCCCAGCTCTGCCACGTTCTACCTGGGGAGGGAAAGCAAGTCCCTTAGGCTCTGAGCCATGGCAACATCAGGGTAAAGAGGCCCAGCCTCACAGAGTAGTTGTGAGGGGAACACAAATGTGAGTCATTGCTGGAGGTTTCCAGCCTAAGGCCCACCAGGCCCCCGGCCATTCAGTGAGCCGGGTAGTGACTCCTCGCAGCAAGGAGGCGGCACACCCCAGGGAACCCGGGCGACTCTGAGAGGGCGTTACGAGGAGCCGATTCTCCGATGTGCACTTTGGTTGGATGACTTGAGGGAAAGTCTAGGAAGTAGGGGTTTGCTCTCATTTGGACACTGTCAGAAAGTGGGACAGCTCTGTGGGCATCTGGATAAATCTTGTCTGTGGGGGGGGGGGAGAGTGGA